CTGCAGGGGGAGCGGGACGAGTGGAAGCGGGAGCGGGCCAAGGTGGAGACCAAGATGGTGAACAAAGAGGTGGTGCGCCGAGAGAAGGACCCAGTGCTGGAGAAGGAGGCTGAGTGGCTCCGCCAGGAGGTGCGAGGAGCAGTGCAGAAGAGGCGGGCTGCCGAGGCTGTGGTTTATGAGCTGCAGAACAAGTACCTGCTGCTGGAGAGGAGGAAGCCCGAGGAGAAGGTGGTAGTGCAGAAGGTGGTGGTCACCCAGAAGGACCGGAAGCTGCGTGAGGAGCACAGCCGGCTGAGCTGCAGCCTGGACGAGGAGGTGGGGCGGCGGCGGCAGCTGGAGCGCGAGGTGCAGCAGCTGTGCGCCAGCTTGGAGGAGAAGGAGAGCCTGCTCAGCTTCCAGGAGGAGTACAGCAGGAAGCTGGCTGCAGAGAAGGAGCTGCGACAGCTGACCTTGAGGATCCAGGAGCTGGAAAAGCGGCCTCCTGTAGTGCAGGAGAAGATCATCATGGAGGAAGTAGTCAAACTGGAGAAGGACCCAGATCTGGAGAGGTCCACGGAAGCCCTGAGACGAGACCTGGACCAAGAGAAGACACAGGTGATGGAGCTGCACCGGGAGTGCAAAAGCCTGCAGGTCCAGATTGACGTTCTCCAGAAAACCAAACTGCAGGAGAAAACCATCTACAAGGAAGTGATCAGAGTAGAGAAAGACCAGGTGCTGGAAGGCAAGCGGGCCCAAGTGTGGGAGATGCTCAATAAGGAGCGTGCGGCCCGCCAGGTCCAGGAGGAAGAGGTGTGGCGACTGCGGGAGCGGATTGACAGGGCAGAGGCGGTGAAGAGGACCTGGTCCCGGGAGGAAACCGAGCTTCAGAAGGCCCGGGACCAGGCTGCCCAGGACTGCGGGCAGCTGCAGCAGGAGCTGCGAGAGCTGGAGCTGCAAAAGCAGCAGAAGGTGCTGCAGCTGCAGGAGGAAGCAGAGATGCTCAGCCAGAAGATGGACAGCAAGCGGCAGCAGGACCAGGCACTCTCAGAGCTCGAGGCCTCCATCCTCCAAGAGAAGGACCTTATCTATCAGAAGGAGAGGACCCTCCGGGAGCTGCGTAACAAGGTGAGCCGGGAGGAGCTCAGCCAGGAGACCCAGACCCGGGAGACCAACCTCTCCACCAAGATCTGCATCTTGGAGCCTGAGACGGGGGACGACATGTCCCCTTATGAGGCTTATAAGAGGGGCATCATTGACCGAGGCCAGTACCTCCAGCTGCAGGAGCTGGAGTGCGACTGGGAGGAGGTCACCACCTCAGGCCCCTGTGGGGAGGAGTCCGTGCTCTTGGACCGAAAGAGCGGGAAGCAGTACTCCATCGAGGCCGCCCTCCACAGCCACCGCATCTCCAAGGAGGAGTACCACCTGTACAAGGCCGGCCGCCTCCCCATCTCTGAATTTGCCCTGCTCGTAGCAGGTGAATCAAAGCCCTGCTCCTCTCTCTCCATTGGCTGCATCATCTCCAAATCCCCACTCTGCTCTCCGGCTCCCCACAGCACCAGCTTCTTCTCCCCAAGCTTCTCTTTTGGGCTCGCAGATGACAGCTTCCCCATTGCCGGGGTCTATGACACAACCACAGACAACAAGTGCAGCATTAAAACGGCCATGGCCAAGAACCTGCTGGACCCCATCACAGGGCAGAAGCTGCTGGAGGCACAGGCGGCCACAGGTGGCATCGTGGACCTCCTCAGCCGTGAGCGCTGCTCCGTACACAAAGCCCTGGAGAGGGGACTCATCGAGAACACCTCCGTGCAGCGGCTGTTCAATGCCCAAAAGGCCTTCACTGGCATCGAGGACCCTGTCACCAAGAAGAGACTGTCGGTAGGTGAGGCCGTCCAGAAGGGCTGGATGCCCCAGGAGAGTGTCCTTCCGCACCTGCAGGCGCAGCACCTGACGGGGGGGCTCATCGACCCCAAGAGGACGGGCCGCATCCCTGTCCCTCAGGCCGTGCTCTTGGGAATGATCAGCGAAGAGCTGGCCCAGCTCCTGCAGGACGAGTCGGGCTATGAGAAGGATCTGAGGGACCCCATCTCCAAGGAGCGGCTGAGCTACAAGGAGGCCATGGGCCGCTGCCGCAGAGACCCCCTGAGTGGCCTGCTGCTCCTTCCGGCTGCCCTGGAGGGGTACCGCTGCTTCCGGGCGGCCTCCCCCACGCCACCGCACTCCTGTGTGCGCTGATGGGGACCGAGCACCCCCTCCCCAAAGCAACCTTGTGCCGGGCAGCGGGCCTTTCCTCTGTTAACCCACCACTGCCTTTTCACTTCAGTGTTTGTGGTGCTGGGCTCCCTCCTCTAACCCCGGTTCCCAACCCGCCCCAGACCAGCGGGTCAGCAGCTCAGTACCTCACTTCCACATCACACTTCCAATAAACGACTACTTCCAGACCTGCGTCTCCTCTATATCTGGGGATATACGACCGAGGAGCCTCGGGTCTGAACAGAGGGGCAGCCTTGCTTGGGTTGGGGAGCAGATGTGCCCAACCCAGTAGCCTGGGATGGGAGTTCTTGGAGGGCAGTGGTTCCTTATATTCCAGGCAGGGATGTGGTGAGGAGAGACTGAGGAAGAGCCCAGCCTCCCTACCCGCCCCGCCTGTTTCCTGCCCTCTCAGTTCAGGCGGGACTATTTCCAGGCCCTGCCCAGGTGTCCCCATGAAACCGACCACAGAATAATGCCAGAAAACCCAGTAACTTGTGCCAGTTTATTTCCCACTCATCAAGCGAAGCAAACCAATGTAAACGTATCTTGGGTGAGGGACAAATAACTTAGAACAGCTGCTGGTGTCCTGAGCTCTGCTGGGTCAGGAAATTGTCCCCAGGTCCCCTCTCTCTTATTTAAAGTGAAATTCTGAGCTGAATTCTCAACTGAATTTTAAGCAAACATTTTAAATCAAAAAAGACCAGCAGGGGGCATCCCTCCCTGAGCCCTAGCTCTGAAGATAAGGGCCTGGGGAGCAGCTCACCGGCAGCCCTGGTGGGCTTTCTGCCCTCAGCCTGACACCTGTTGTTCCAATGCCAAGGGATCAAGAATTTAATATCCCCTCCTACCTGGGGCATCTGCGCCCCTATTTGGAAATGGCACCATCAAAATCAACCAACTCAGGAACTCAGTAACCCACTGGCAGGGCCAAGTCAAACTCCTCGGCCTTCTGACAGCTGATGCAAAATTCCTTAGAGCTTTGCTTTCTGCCCAGATTTGTTCTCTCTTGGAAAGTTGGGTCCAGGTTCAACTGAGAGAGGATTTTTGGTTGTGGGTTTCAAATATTGTCAGTGGCAAAAACGCCCCAGCACACAGCGGCAGGATGCCCTGGCAGGCTCCATAGATGAGAAGTATGGATGGGCAGGGGCAGCCTTGGCTGAGATCCCTGGCTGGGGTCTACTGCAGGAGTTGCTGAGAAGAAAGGAGAAGGGAAGAGACTGGGTCCAGTGTAGCTGCTGAGGACAGCTGTGCCTCAAACCCAGACCTCCACGAGGCCTCTACTCTCCAGCTCTCAGTGGCATTCTTGGAATCTGGGGACGCAGGGTTCCTTTGGGTACAGCCCTGTGAGCCACCCAGTCTCCTTCAGGCTGCTGACGCCTAGTGGGTCCCCTCTGTTGCTGAGGGTTCCAGGCCCAGCCTGTCCTTTCCGTCTGTAAGCAGCCCCCAAACCTATCCAGGCAGCATGCTTGAGGTGAGCAGGAATCCAAAGGGCAGGGAGAGGAAAGGAGTAGCCAACATGGAAAGAGACCTGCTTTCTGCCTCGAGTTGCTAACCCAGGCAGGATGTGGAAGGGGCTTCTGGCAGGGAGTGGCCAGGGTGGAGGGGTGGGAGCCTTGCCTGGAAGTCCCTGCCGTCCCCCAGGCACTGGACCGGGAAAGGGTACCCACAGGTGCTAGAAGGCACGGGCAGGAGCGACTTCTTTTCCTCATTCCCACAGGAATGGCCTGGCCCTCACAATAGGAACCTGTGGCCTTGGCACGCGACTCTCACCTATCATGCCCCACAGAGCAGGACCCAGGGCAAGGACTGCTCAGGGCGGGTAAGGGCTGATTTAAGAACAGGGAAGGGCTGTACCTCTGTGACCACCCCAGTGCCTAGGCAGCACCTAGCAAGGCGGCTGAGTGCAAACCCCAGATGAGGGAATGAATGGGGAGTTGCAGGCTGTGGGTCACCCTGGGGGAAAGGGGCACCTACACTCCCAGCACTCACAAATCCAGCCTGATCTTCTTGAGGGCCACAAGCTGCCCAGTGTCCTTGTTCTTGGCCTTATACACCACCCCATAGGTGCTTTCTCCAATCTTCCCTACTTTCTGAACACATGCATGTCTGCAGAACTGCCCAGGAAACAGGTGCAGCCCGGGGCATTCATGCCTCTCACGCACCATCCCTGTTGCCCAGTTCCAACTCCCCGTAACACCTTGCCCAGCCCCTGTCCAGGCTCCCCAGCTCCCGGTCTCTCCTGTCTGCACCTCGTCCTGGTGAACCTGGCTCAAGACCAGGGCTGCCCCTTGCCCAGTCCCGCCCTACCTGGCCCTAGGCCTCTTGTCCAGTGCTTGGCTACGGAGTGTAGGAGAACCCAAACTTCTGCCAAACTCTGGCCTCAGCCCAGCCAAGTTCGTGTGCTGGGCGTAGAAGCCTTCCCAGAAGGGCTGCCCATGACTGACCGAGAGCAGAGAGTAGAGGTCAGGGGTCAGGAAGGGCTTTGAGAGCCACAGTCCTACCGCACACCACATAGTCAAGGCCCAGGACCTGGACTTACTCTGGCAATCCTCAGCCTTTTCTGAAGACAGAGCCTCAGCAGGGCAGCAACCCTGAGTTCTGGGCCTCCCACTAAGCCCCTAGGTATCCAGCACCCTCTCCTCAATCTCCCAGCCCAGGTTTCACCAGAAACGCTGGGCTATACGCAGCCTCTCTGCCAGGCCGGCTGCCTGCCTTACAGCTCCCCCTCCTGGGTCCTGACGGCGCTGCACCACACAAGGCAAGGCAGAGTCAGCCACAGACCTTTATTCATGAGGACCTTCTGGAACCTTCCATGATGCCCCAGAAGCACAGCCCTGGGGTCTGGAGCTCAGCTACCTGTAGCCACCTGTGTGGGGTGTGACACTGGCTCTCCAGGCTCTCATTTCTGGTACAATCCAAATTAGGCGCAGGGCTTTTTTTTTTTTTTCCTGTCTTTTTCCTTTTTATTGGTACCGGGGATCGAACTCACGACTGCCTGCTTGCAAGGCAGACACTTATGCCACTGAGCTAAACCTCCACCCTGAGGCAGGGCTTTATTAACTATCAGCCCTCTCTTTGGTTTCAGATGAGTGGCTGTCACTCGGGGAAGTGGCCACACTCGGCGGCGGCCGGTCAGCAGTTCTGGAGGTTCGGCTTCCGGAGCGGGGGTGTGTGTGGGGTGCCTGGTGCTGCTGTTTCCTACTGGCTGCTCCCCTGCTCGTGCTGGTACAGCCTCTGTTTCTGGATGGCTTGTTCCAACATATGCAGACTCATCCCCTCCACACAGGTCAGCACACGGGCCTTCACCACAGAGCCTCCATCTGAAAAACACAAACACCAGGCCTTTGTGCATGGTGGAGCACCTGCCATCCCAGCACTGGGAAGCACTGTGAGCTAGCGAGGCCAGCCTGGGCTACATACATACATACCCCATCTCAAAAAACAAAACAAAACAATAAAAACACTGAAAGACACAGACAGCACTGCACTAGCAGTAACAGAGCCACAGGAATGCTAGCAGTATACTCTACTGATGCTCTGGCTATTTCCCTGAGGGTTTCAGGGTTGCGCTTTGACAGCTAGCAGCAGAGCCAAGGAAGACATGACACTGGCAGTCCGTCTTCTTAGGCCTCAGAATGGTGACTCTGGACCTTCCCCCATGGCAGCACATATTGGGAAGGTGGAGGGCAGCCTGAAAATCCCACTTCTCCAGGGAGGGGCTCTCTACTTCCTGTCTTTACCACCTTCATTCCTTTGTCCCCTCAGTCCCAAGTGCAGGGTTGAGGAGGGGTCTCATCACCATCCTAGTTCTCTGTGCATTCCAAGGGAAGGACTTTCTTAGGACCACTGACATTGGAAATCGGGGCAATGAGGAACCTTTATTTTTTTTATTTGTTTTTTAATCAGTACTGGGGATCGAACTCATGACCAAGCACTTGCAAGGCAGGCACTTATGCCACTGAGCTAAATCCCTGCCCCCAAGGAACCTTTATTAAGATAGGGTCCCGGGGGCTGGGGATTTAGCTCAGCGGCATAAGCACCTGCCTTGCAAGCAGGCAGTCGTGAGTTCGATCCTTGGTACCAATAAAAAATGGAAAAAGACAAAAAAAAAAAAAAAAAAAAAAGACAGGGTCTCATGGGGCCAGGGGTTTAGCTCAGTGGTATAAGCACCTGCTTGCCAAGCAAAAGGCCATGAGGTCCATCCCTGGCACCAAAAACAAACAAACAAACAAACAAAAAAAACTGCAACAAAGATAGGGTCTCACTTGTAGTTCAGTCTGGATTTCAATTCATTATGTCGCTCAGGTTGGGCTCAAACTTGTGAGAATCCTCTTGTCTCAGCCTTTGGAGTGCTGAGATTACAGGCATGCTGGGGAACCTGGTTCAGTCATCCCTGGCTCTGATATCTGCTAAATCCAAAGTGCTGAGCTCCAAGCAAATTTCCCTTTGTAGGGATAATCACCCCACCCTTGGTGAGGGGTTTGGTGGAGTTCTAGCAGATAGAGTGATGACCTTATTTAAAATGTCAACCTCCAGGGAACAGAAAACAGGAAAGATCTATTTGGGTACAATGGTGCATGCCTATCATCCCAGCATTTCAGAGTCGGAGGCAGGAGGATCATTGAGAGTTTGAGGCTAGCCTGAGTTACAAAGTAAGTTCAAGGCCAGCCTGAACTGCATAACTAGACCCTGTTTCAAAGACAAAAAAAAAAAAAAAAAAAAAAAAAAATAACCCAACCAGGAAAAATATCTGGTGTTTGCAATAGAAAACAGGAAAGATTTTTCCCCCTACTCGTACGTTTTCTGGCATTTCAATGAATATACCCAATGCCCAAGGAACACTGTCCTGTTACCTTGCTAAGCAGTTTTGGGACAGAGGTTCTCTGGTTAAGATAATGGCTTCCTGTTAGTCTAGGCCATTTAGCAATTAAACATAGCCTGAAGTAGCATTCGGAGCATCAAAATGTTAGAGGTGGCATGGTTTAGAGAGCAGGGAGCATGTGAGAACATCTGGACCTACTACTTACCGTAGATTGTCAACTGTTATCCCTCAGGCCTCTTCTGGACAGTTGCTATCTATACCGATCAATTGAATGGTAATTTTTGCCTAATCTATACTTTGTCCCGAGAGGCCTCTGGGAAACAGATGCCCTGAAGAGTTTTTATCCCCCACTACTACTGACTCATTTTAGTTTCTTTTTGGGTTTGGGGTGGGGAAAGACAATGAAACTTTATTTTGAGACCAAACTACTAGGAAAATATATCACAGCAGACAGGCTGTGTTATCATTTCAATGAAATAAGCTGTTAACACAGCTCTCATCCAAAGGATAAGATGCACAAGGAACACTGTATGATACAAAGGTCCCAGGTGTGTACTCTGACCTTCCTGTTGCCAGGAGATTATCTCAGTAAGGCACTGTTAATTTTTTTTTTCTTTTTTTTTTGTCTTTTTCCTTTTTATCGGTACCGGGGATCGAACTCACGACTGCCTGCTTTCAAGGCAGGCACTTATGCCGCTGAGCTAAACCCCCAGCCCCAAGGCACTGTTAATTCAGGAGGCAAAGTAAGCCATGCCCAGTTTAGGCTGTTAGTCCATTCTGTTCTATGTAAACCAGTCTCTTCAAGTTCTTGATGGCTTGGAGGGTGGGAAAGAGATCTCTACTGCCAGGATAAGATCTTGCCACATGCAACTTAGGCCCTAAAACACCCATGGCTATCTTTAACTCAAACTTTCACACGGGTTTTTTGGGGGGTTTTCTCCATTTCACTTTCTAGCATCCAAACACAGAGGAACCAGGCTCTAGGGGCTGGTGAAGTATCTTCAACTTGCTGTCATCTTAGTTCCTTCATTCCTAAATTTTACTTAAAAGACTAAAATTCCCATGGAAATGAAAACAAACTTTTGTAAATGGGGAGGGGAGGAGGAGTTGAAAGGAGGGTAGGGGGATGGGGAAAGAAAGAATCAAGTTATGTCACGTGCAGGTACAAATTCTCTGTGATGAATGTGATCATTATGTATATCTGAAATGTACCAAAAGAATCTGCTTAAAGAAAAAAACCCTTCCCATTCTTCTTTTTATTGATTTTTGTCCTCAGCCCTAGTGGTCACTGGCAAAGGTTTTCATTTCCCAATGGATGAAAGGCTCCCTCATCTTTTTTTTTTTTTTTTTTTTTTTGGTCATACTGGAAGGGGTTGCATGTGGTTATCCACACACCTGGGCACACAGCTGCCCCGCATCTGTCTAGTTTCTCCAAAGCTTCTCAGTGCCTGTATCCTTCGAATCTTTGGTTCTGTCATTGCAATGTGTCCTGGAACTTTTCCAACTCCTTGGTCACCCAGGCCTGGGCTTGAGCTACAGGTGCATGCAGCACCCAGTGGACTTGTGCATGTGCTGCATAGACGCCTGCAGCCCTCACAAGAGTCGGCACCACACAGGAACGTGAGGCCCTGCACCTTCCTGATGTTCTCTCTCTCCACACTTTTTACCCAAAGAGTCAAATACAAAGAAAGTGCAGGAAATCTGTCCACACACTAAAGACCTAGAAAATCCAGCCGAGTGCCTGGATCCCATGGCAATATCTTGCATGAGTGGCTCACGCCTGTAATCCCAGCACTTGGGAGGCGGAGGCATGTGGATCATTGTGAGTTGAGGCCAGCCTGGGCTACAAAGTAAGCTCAAGGTAAGCCCAAACTGCACAGCAAGTCCCTGTCCCAAAAAGACAAAAAAAAATCTGAAACCTTATCCCATATTTAGCTGGCTTGTTAGGCGTAAGAATTCTAAAACCATGTCGTCTTCCTCAAAATAATACTAGCAATGCAGTGAGGTGAAATCCAGGGGAATTATATGACTTTGTCAAGCTGACAAATTCATCAAATAGGTCTGAGACAGGAGCTAACTTGTTTATCTTGACTTTCTTTGTTCTATTGTATGGAACCACTCAGACTACTTCAAAGCTCAGGGGCATCTAGGGACACCTGAGGACGTGACTTCACTGTCTAGCACAGGTGCACAGTGGGATACGGGTACTAACCATGACAGGTAAACACACGCACCGGTTACAGCGTCATGTAAACATGAGACAACACCCTGGGTAAGAATTATACACTAAAGATGCAGGCGGCTCTCTTCGCTCTCACTCTGGCTCTCTGTTCCTCTCCATGCTGCCTGCTGCTGTTGCTGGTATTTGCATATGTGTGTTCTTTAACCTGAGGTCCTGACCCAAGAAAATATCCCTTGGGCCCCTTGCCCCCCAAGCAGGCTGACATCTCAGGTCAACATTATCGCATCTATGGCAACATACTAAAAATGAAAACTGACAGCCAGGCACAGTGGTGCAGCACTCTGTAATCCCAGAACTCTGGGAGGTTGGTTGGGGCAGGAAATCTTAAACACAGCAGTTTTACTTGAAAGGCTTTTGACCCAGACCAGACACTGTAGCTGGTAAAGCCTCAGGCGGAACCAGACGAGTCATCACACCAAATGATAAGATTGTAGCACGTCCAAAAGATAAGAAGTATAAAACAAAAGAGGCCTTTATTCTGAGAATGCGGAGAGAGAAAACAAAAAAACCCCCGACCACGGAAGTCTGGCTTTCTTTCTGCCATCGCGTGGAGTGGGGGCATGTAAGTAGCCTAGGTTTAAGCTGGTGCCCTCGCGGCATTAGAGATGCACAGGTATCTTACTGGCACTCATTTGGTACCAGGGGCAAATTTCTAGGGGTGGGGAAGATAGAGCCACAGGTAAATTCCTAGGGGTGGGGGAGATGGAGCCCCTTGGTTCTGCCTCCAAGGCTTTTCCAGCTACAATGTCCAGCCTGGGCCAAAATCCCTTTCATTACTGTTTTAAAGTCTGGTCATGAAGATAATTCATTCAATGTGAGCAATAATTAATGGGACAGGAAGACCGATTTTTTGTGTTACTATGAGTCGGGTTTGATTTTCTTTTTTCTTTTCTTTTTTTTCTTTTTGGATCTCCCTTTTGAGACAGATTCTCACTATGTAGTTAACGCTGGCCTTGAACTTACTATGGAGCCTAGGCTGGCCTGGAACTCAAGGAGATCTCCCTGCCTCAGCCTCCCACAGGTGTGTGCCACCACTCCCAACTCCAATTTAACAATTTAGCAAGGCCTTGCCCCAAAACAAAAAAGACATGGGGATGTAGCTCACTGCAAGAGCCCTGTGTTCCATCCCCAGCATCACAAAACCAAAAGCGGCAACGAAAAAAAACACCAAACCCCTCCACATGGGAGCTATGGGTATAGCTCAGTGGCAGAGCACTTACTGGCCTAGCATTTGTGAGGTCTTGGGTTCCATCTTC